ATGATTCTATGATTCTATCTCAACCCATAGAAGTCCATAGGACCCACTTGGGGTACATCCTGGGAGGGCTGAGCCAGCTGGCTGATGTCATTGTGAGCTTGCTCTCTTGTCATCTTTGAGAGGTTGTGAAGGTCAGCTACAGCTTAGTCAGCCTCACTTCAGTCCCTTGGAAAATCATGAAGCAAGTTCTCTTGGAAGCTGTTTCTAGGCACGTGAAGGGGAAGGAGATTGGGAATAGTCATCATGACTATACTTGCAAACTGATTACCTTTGGTGATGAAATTACTAGATCTGTAGATCCAAAGTCTTGGATGTCATCTGCATTAGCTTTAGCAGGACTTTTGAAACAGTCTCCTGTAGCATCCTCCTCTTTGAGTCGGGATGTTACAGGTTGTAAGCTAGTAGATGAGTAAAAAACCCGGCTGGATCGTCAGGCTCAAAGAGGAGTGGTTAGAGGTTTGTACTTTACCTGAAAGTGGATTACAAGAGGAGTTCCTCGGGGGTCTATCCTGGGACCTGTCCTGTTGATAGGAGGAGGATGTGGGATGCACCTTCATGGTGTTTATGGGTGGGGAAGGTGCCATAGACAGCTAGGAATAGGCTGGAGGAATGGTTCATCAGACACCTCAAACTTCAACCAAGGAAGCTGAAAATCCAAGTGTGAAGCGCTGCGCCCGGGCCTGTATGCTGCAGCGGTACGGGCTGGGAGCTGAGTGGCTGGGGGCCGCCCGGCTGAAAGGACCTGGGGGTCCTGCCGGGCAGTGGGCTAAACGTGCGCCAGCACTGTGCCCTGGCATTGAGGCATACAAGGCTGTATCAGCAGGAGCATAGCCAGCAAATCAAGGGAAGTGACACTTCTCTACTTGGCACATATTAGGCTGCTCCTGGAATGCTGTGTCCAGTTTAGGCCCACCAGTACAGCAAGGCTGTTGGTAAACTGCTGCGGGAGCTCACTAAGCCGCAGCAGCCCTTCGGGGCTCGCAGGGAAGTTAATGACAAGCTGGCGCCGGGCACTTCACCGCCCAGCATGATGGGAGGCTGAGAGGAAATAGCCATGAATGGAAACAAAAGAAGCAAGAGAGGTTGCAACTTGATGTAGAGTGAAACATTTTCACTGTGAGGACGGGCAAGCAGTGGAATGGGATGCCCAGAGAGGTGTAGCCTCCATCCCTTGAAATTTTCAAGACCCACTTGGATAACACCTTGAGTAAGCTGCTCTGATCTAATGGCTGTTCCTGTTTGGAGTTGGAGGTTGGACCAGACACCTTCTCAGGTCTCTTCCAACTGGAATGGGTCTGAATTTGAAAATACTCCTCTTGTTAAATTGGGCTGAGGGGTGGAATGAAGTACCTGCTTAGGCTCATCATGTTAGTTTCTCGACCAGAGCAGACTCTGCTGCCACTCTGGAAGTCTACTACAACATAACTGTAATGCTGTATAATAGCAGTGTATATTCTGTATGTGAGCTGTTACATGGAATAGCCGAAGCTTTTATTTGCAGAGTTTATACAGGTATCTATGTTGTGAACATTGCCTGAGCATTAGGGAGTTTGGTGGTGTTTCCTGCTTTCCATGACAGAGGGAGATGTGCTGAGATTAAGGGCTGAAAATTCTGACGGGAATTAATGAGCATGTATCCCTTCTATCCAGTGATGCTCCTTCACCATAATATCTGTTGAGTTGTCAGCACTCTGATGGCTGTAGCATCTAGAGTTGATTTAGGGATTTCTTCTGGAGAAGCTTCCTGTGTAGATAGCATTTTATGTCAGGTTTTTTTTGTTGTTGTTTTTTCCCCAGCCACCAATGATCAACCTGAATATGGATGATGACGTACAGTTTGTGAGAAGTAAGTTGCTGTGTTCCATGTGTGACGATTATTTTTGGAAGTATTTCATGCTTTTTTACAATGCTGTACATGCTGTAAACAAATGAGAAATTGTCATATATCTAATGTAGGCAGAACAGGAGGAATGCTGCACTCTAAATGAAATAACAGATATGAAGCAACACATTCTTCATAGTTTTCCTCTTTAAACCTGCTGTAAGTATACCTTCCCACTGCTGTAAAGAAAATAACTTATGGGAAAAGTGAGAGAGAACTGGAACATCGTGCTGGCAAACATTAGTTTTCAACTGTAAATATGTAAATACATGCTTGAATGAATTGGGGTTCGTGTTTTGTTTTTCCTCCCCAATTGAATGGTTTCATACATCTCTCAGTAACACAGTCCAAAACTGAGTTGTTGAACCTGTCACTTCACGTTAAAGACTGCACAATCTTGCAGCCATGGAATGGGTGTGATGGACTATGAGTAAAAGTATATGTCTCGTTCATCCTGGGAAAAATACTTACATTTGCAGTAGAGTGTTTCCTAGGGAAGTTTCCTTACACGAGCAGCCATGTGCAGGAACACACACGCACACGCGTTCTCTTGAAGCATTAGACTGGAATATTAGTCAGTGACACAGTTTGATCAGATACAAAATACCTGGTTTGCTTTGCAGGGGTAAAGACAAGTAACAGCAGGATTTGACAGTCTTACATTGACTCCAGCATCAGATGAGTTCACGTGTACCATGTCTCTTTTGTGCTTTTTTTTTATGCTTTATGCATACATAAATAACAATCTAAACAAGCTGTTCATCAGTACCTTTTCTGCTGTTTCTGCAAATATGCTGGTAATGGATACACGTAGCTCGTAGATCTCTCTTAAACCTGTGGTGTCCTGGTGTCTGTAGATCTTTGTTGCATTAGTAAGTTAAACAATGGTATCACCAGTTCTTTTGCCCTGAGGCCAAATAGTACAGCCAGAGTTTGTCCATATATTAAGTTCTCGGACTCTAGAACAGATTGGTCACATCCAGGCTGAAACAGTCCCTGAAACCAGGCTAACTCCTGAACCGTTTCTGAATGTTATCTGGGAGATCTACTGGTTAATCTGGGCCAAAAGGGTGTGAAAAAACATTTTAACAGTGTCATGGAGCAGATGATAGAGCTGTGGTTCTCTGGCAGTGCCCTGACACTATCTATAGCTAACCGAAGGTTTCATTGGTATTCATTCAGTAGTCTGAGCTCCTGCAGAACATACAGTACCTACCTATTAATGTCCATACTAGCAGTCTGAAGTCATGAACATTGAAAGCATGAAGATGCATGCTTGCTCTTAAGAAACAATCACTGCAAACAAATGAAGGTATATGTAGTTAATAGACTTTATATGATGCCATTGCAATGTCAGTGTTAATAATGACAATGGTTTCAGACTTGCCTTCATTGCTACTTCATCGCTATTGTTTTTTTAAGGAACACTTCATGCTCGTGTAGTAGTTTACACTAAATGTTCTATCGTTACAGGAACTCTGAAAGTCAAAAAGCCTCGATTTGATGCATCCTTGGTTTATTTGACACGAAAATTCATGGATCTTGTCAAAACAGCTCCAGATGGTGTCCTTGATTTAAATGAAGTAGCAACAACACTTGGAGTACGAAAACGAAGAGTGTATGACATCACCAATGTGTTGGATGGAATCCACTTAATTCAGAAAAGATCTAAGAATCTTATCCAGTGGGTGTGAGTTGGCTTTGAAACTTCTAATTTCTGAGACAATAAAACCCAACAATGTTGAGTAATGTTTATAACTTTGAGAGTACTTTTTTGAGAGCATATTGAATTACTTTTAATAGATAAAAAATATTTTAAGTTCTTCCGTATCCTTAGGCTGTCTGAATTATTTACCATATTACAAATATCAAGTGCAAAAGCGCAATGAAGTGGTATTGAGCAGAGTAAAGGATGCCAGAGTTCCTTGTTGTTTTCTATTAGTATGCTTTGTGTTCAATAAACAGGCTCTTATTTATATTGACATTCTAGACAACTTTCATATTCTTCTAGAGGTTCTAATCTTGACCAAGTTGTCGGAAAAGCACCGGAGCAGCAAAACCTTAAAGATGAACTTTCTGACTTGTCAGCCATGGAGGAAGCTCTCGATGAATTAATCAAGGATTGTGCTCATCAGTTATTTGAGCTAACAGATGACAAAGAAAATGCAAAATATCCTTTTAACTCTTGCATTACTTTAACACGTGGTTTTGGTTGCAAGTACTCAGGTATCTAGTAATAGGTGTAGGCTGATACCATAGGTATGCAGTAATACTTGATAATGAATTATTATAATAGGAAACTTACTGGTTATTTTATATTAGTGTATACTAGTCATGTGCCCTGCTTTGCAGTATCATGTACAGTCTAGCCTGTTCTCAGGGGAGCGCTAGTTGTGCACCTTTCCACTGCAGAAGAATGGAAGTGGGGCAGTAGTCTTAGTACCTTGATAGTACCTTGACCATTGCCTTGTTCTCGCCATTATAGAGTAAAGTTGTCTCAGGGGCAGATCTTGACCTACCGGTGAGACTGAGTTGCTTAGTAAGATGAGAAAGAGGACACAAAATAGAGTCCCAGTGGCCCGTTGCCAAGAAGATACAACGGTGCATTGGTTGTGTCCTAATACTGCTGTGTCTCTTGAGAGAGGTTCTAACGTAGGCTTGTCTTTCAGATGGGTTTTGATAACAGAAAAGGGATTTCTTTTAATATGACATAAGCATTGGATTTTGGCTTTATGTTACAATAAAGTATTACTTAGCTCCCTTGTCTGGCAGAATGTTAGTCTGTGCTCCAATGAAATGCGTCAGTTTTCTGTATGATAGCAGGAAAACTTTTCATTACCCGTTCTGGTTAAGGAAATAATTCCATCATTTTTCAGGGAATTATTTCTGTGCATAGTTATTACAAAACAAAGAAGTAGTTTCTCAAGAGCAGCATTCCCTCTGCTTTGTAGACTTATGACAGCATCTGTGAAAACCATTTGTCAAATTTCTTTTTTTTTTTAATATTGAAGATCTCAATTGTTTTAAAGCTTTTTCCTCCTAGAAATAAAGAAAAAAGGTTTTTCACTTGTTAGCTAACAATTTTGCAAAGCTAGTATTAAAGTAACTGCAGCTGAACTTTTTACTTTTCTTAAGTTGGTATTCTGCTTCATCATATCTTACCATCATACTCTTTGCTTCTGCCCATTAGCAAATTACTTTACAGAATCCTTGACCAATGTATACACTAGCTTATGTGACATATCAAGATATCCGTAGCATTCAGGCATTTCAAGAACAGATTGTGATTGCAATCAAAGCTCCAGAGGAAACCAAATTGGAAATACCAATTCCTAAAGAAGTAAGTTTTATACATTTCTATCTTAAGGGAATGAAAGTTCTCAAATTTGATTTTTGCAGCAGCAATCAGTAATTGTCTTCCAGTTTCTTTGTCATGTATAGCAAATATTGGTACTTTATTGTTCTTGTGTTCTACTGAACAGTGCTGTAGGAATAATAGTCTAAGAAACTTATTTTCAGTATTTTGTTATTTACCTAAATTATTAAATAATAAACGTGCCTGAGCTTTAGTTATTTGGTTTTGTTAGAGAATGGAACAGCTGTAATAAATGTTACTTATTTCCACCATCAGTTTGTTTGATAATTACTAGGATAATGAAGCTTCCAAAGAACTGTTATTGTTTGTATACTAAAATCTACAAAAATTGTAAATCTAACCAAACAAAGCAATAAGCATGACAGCATTTACATGCTGTCTTACTGCATAATGAGTAGACAGCTATTGTTACTATAATAGTAAAGTATGAAACGCGCAGTATGATCAACAAACAAAAACATTCTGGCACTCCGGTAGATCATGTCAACGTGGATGTTTCATGGAGGCGGGGGGCTGTGCCCTGTCCTCGCTTCACGGTACAACACGCATCCTCCCATCCAGGTCATACAGAAGAGCCGTAGCTTTGCCCTCTGCGCCCAGTCACACTGTGCCTGGGCCGGGGCCTCTATACTGGGAACCCACTGTTTAAAGTAGTGCTCTGAAAGAAGGGAAATACTGGAAGTAAGCTTAAGATAACAAATGGGGCTTTGATTCCATTTTCCTTTTGTGTGTGCATTCTTTTATTATGTTCTTAATTGTGTAGTCATCAAATTTGCTGTGTGCACAGAAAGGGAGGTGATACCATAGGAAAAGGAGATACGAATCAATAGAACCAGAAGACTGAGATCCACTGCACAGATTATTAAAGCTGCTATGTGCGCCGATTTGTTTTCTGATCCATGGCATTGACTTGTCAAGTTTTTAAATTTTGTTACTCTTACTGAACATATAGTAAATCTTGGTCATATATCTAAAGGTCAGTAAAAAGACTAAACAAAGATTCATTAGGTACGCATTCATCAAAAATGAAACCTTGTTAGCTTAATGGTGCTTAATAATTGGTCTACAAATCTGTAACAGTCATAACTTATGTAGAGCTAGTAACACAATTTTAAATAGCTGTGTCATTCCTGTATTTGTTCTTAATCTTTTGGCTTTAAAATATGTGCAAAAATAGATAACTGCTGTGTAAGATTTGTTCGTTGGTTTATATGCAAGTCACTTTTATAGGATTGCATAGAAGTACATGTGAAGAGCACAAAAGGACCCATTGATGTCTATCTATGTGAGGTGGAACAAGAGAAGCCAGGTGCCAAAAGTTTTGAAGATATGGATACTGTCACTTCTGAAACCAAGCCATCAGTTCCTCCTGAGGAAGGTAGTGTTTTCCGTTGGCATTTTTATCCCTATGTAATATTTTTTATTAAGACGGTCATACCATTCTGATAAAGTTGAAAAGTGCGCTGTACAAGAATCATTTTCTGGGCATAGTTTGTGGGCCAAGATGTGTGGGAGTATAGGAAACGCCTGAAAGAGAAGTCTGTGCTGCGTGTTACCTCACAACAGCAGGAGGTCAGAGAGTCAGGCACGTGCACACATAGCAAGGCACTCTTGTTCCTGACCCCTTCCCTTCCTGTGCTCGTTACTGGTTTCCTGTCGGAGCTGCACTCGGCGGATGGGACAGTGTGTGTCAGTTCTCAGCTGCCTCGCTGCAGAGTCCAGCAGCTCAGCGGAAATAGTTGCAATGAGAGTTCAGATGCTGGTTCAGACGAGAGCGTGCTGCTCTTGGTCGTTACTGCCCTAAGGGAAGGCAGGCAGAAGAGGGGATGTAGTATTTTGATCTCCGAAAACAAGATTGGCTGGAATACAGTCTCTCAAGAGCCCCAGCACTGCAGGATGTTGTGATTTAAAAATAAATGTGGCGGGAATTGCAGTAGCTCAGAACATAAAAGATAAATTATTTTTAGCAGTGCTGCTTTGGAGTGGAGGGGAAGAGTTGACTTTTTAATCTCAGGCATTATTTTACTTTATTTTGCTTGCAAGTTGACTCAGAATTATACTTCCTACAATGACAGTAATCATATTCCTTTTTTTACTTTCCTTTCAAAGTGAGATCTCCAGGGGAAGAAAAAAAACAAACCACCTGAGATGACCGATTAATTACAGTTCAAAAATCTAATACAGAATGTAAATATCTGTGTTATAGAGCTTTTCCAAAGCCGCTTGGATCTGCAAACTTACTAACCTGAAATGTTCCAAAGTGTTTTAAATCTAAAACAGCAGTGGGTTGGTTGAGTGCTTTCACAGGATTGCTTATCTTCCCAAGCCAAAAGACGACAGTTCCTAGAGTGGCTTTTAGGAGCTTTGTTTTCATAATTGCATGTGATCTACAGAGCTTTGGGAAAATGGTATTTTTAGCTTATCAAATAATTTTAATTGACGGAAAACCTCAGCAATTAATTACTTCTAAAAATGAAGATTTGAAAACTATTTCTAGAACGATCCACCATCCTTGGGAGAATGTATATAATAAAGAAATGCACTTTTCAGTTCTGAGGCTGCACTGCTACTAAGCAGGATTGTCAAATACAAGTGTAACAAAGAACTGGTGTATCAGAAGCCTTCGCTATAAGGAACAAGATGTAAATATCATGAGAGTTATGCCTTACACTGTGTAGATGCTGTTTGCATTGTTTGCATCCAGCTCTGCATGAACTATGGTATCAACACTGAAGTTAAATAATTGGGCTTTTTGTATATAACTGTATCATGTCTAGGTAGTTACTGATGTAGATTTATTGAGATGGTTTTAATTTCTGCCTTTGTACAGCAAAGAAATAAAACAAGCTTATAAAAATATTAAATAGTCTAATCGGTCAGTCTAATGAAACATGTTGGGTTGTCTTTGTTGGAATTCACTGGGTAACTACAAACATTAAAACTGATGTTAACGTTTTAAATCTGTTATATGTGGTGCTGGCAGCTAGCAGTTAGATCTAATTCTTGTGATGCCACAATACTGTAGCAATTTTCAGAAGAAACTTTATGATCAATAACTACTTAAATTGGTCCCTTCCAGTTCCTAGAGTTTACATACAGCATAGCTTTAGCCTAGCACCATGATCTCTTTGTGGCTTTAGCTTGCAAAAATAGGTAAAATAGAAGTACATCTGTAGTCATCCATCTTTAGTATCTATAAAATGAAGCTTCAGAATTTTGATACTGGGTTTTCTAAGTGAATGAACTGTCACCGTACAAATGCCATACTTGCGCTCATTTCACTCCAGTACTGAGAAGTGTACGTCATGGTTGTCTGTGTGGGGAGGGGCTGGTTGGTTGGTTTGTTTGTCTTTAAATCAGAACTCCAAGTCCTCCTTTTCCCAATCACACAGTATCAACAACTATCCATCTACTCAGAAGTGAGAACAACAAAGCTAATAAACCCCTGAACATTTTAACCAGCAGCTCTGCAGCTATTTTAGACAGATGCTGTGAAATTAAATGCTCTATATTTTACTAATAAATACAAATAAGGTAGGGTAGTTGGCACTGAAGAGCTTAAATACACCTAGATACAGATCGAGAGTTAATCCAGTTTTCTATAAGGTTCACTAGTTCTGTAAAATGCATAGTGTTATACTATGCAAATTGGGAAATACACTGAGTGCAAGCTTGTGTCAGAAAGTAATCTTGACTTCTTGCGTACGTGCTACCACCTCCCAGCTCCAGAATATAGGACTTATGTGTTGGATACTATTTTTCTGCATCTCTATAAAATGCAAACTACAGGCTGAGCTATTACAATACAAATCAAAGCAAAGGGAAAGCACATTTCCTATGCAGATCACAGTAAAAATGGGGAAGGTGCTCCTCTAATGAAGCTGGGGATGGGGTTAAAATTAAGAAACCATCTTTTCACACAGAACCGTTGTCCTTTTCCTTCAGTGGCTGGCTTCTTTCCAGGTGACAAACTTGCTATTTGATTTTTTACACTGCTGTTCTGTTTTGGTGGGGAGGGAGGTCTGTGCCTAAGAGAAGTATCGATCCCCCTACGCGGGTTCAACAACTTGGGATAACGTTTGCTGTGAAACATGTAAAAATTTGCAGCGCCAACAACTAATCCTGAATGCTATGTGTTAGGGTGGGATTTTGTTAGTGATGATGCGGTGTTTTGAACTGTGGGGTAAAGAAGTGTACTTTTACAAAATAACTATCTTATAAATGTTAAGGAAGTCTGTCTTCAAAAGCACAACATACTTTAATTGAAACATTAGGATTTTTCATTTTGAACAAATCTCTAGTGATTCTGGTTTTCTTCCCTCCTTTGTGTGGGTTTTCTAGCTGTAGAACTCATTTTTTTAACTTCAAGCTATACAATTATCACAGTAAAATGGGAGAAGCTGTAATATGACAGTTATAGTATGATTATTTTCTTAAATACATTTATTGTTTTAACAGTGCACCTTCAGTGGAACAAATGGACTTTTGAAGATTAAACCACTTTGTTGTTACTACTTGGATACTTACGAGTATTATCCACTTGCGATACTGGAAAACAATGTCCTGTATAAGCTCAGTACGCTAACTAGCTGAAAAGATTAGACTCGGACTTGAGAAAAAGTTCCTGAGTGATGTGGAACTTAAATGCAAGTTACAAGGTCACTTAAAAAGTAAATGTGATAGGATGTTGCTCTGAATTTGTATAATAATGCTTGATTTTTTTCTGAAAGGTTATTAAGATTAAAGTATTTTTGTTGAGTCCGTATCTGTCCATTTTCAACATATTTGTCTGTGTAATCACTTCCCTCGGCTATTTCAGGACGCTGCCTGTAATAAATTCAAAAGCTGTAATAATGTTTTTGTCTTTCCTTCAATAAGAATGGCTGAGCATCTAAATGCATTAATCAGCAATAGCAACTGCCAGGATCCGTAATTATAAAACGGCCTGGTTTTGCTGACTCTGTAACTGGAACAAATGCTGCAAGTTGCCAGTTCAGCCCTTATTTGGTATGGGGAATTACTTGTCGGAGTTTTCAGATGTGAATTGCCGTGTTTAAATAATGCGATTTGTAAAGAAGAGAGAAGATTGCTTTAAATTATTATCTTTTGTAAAGCACTTAAAAGACAGCACGTTCCTTCATTTTGAGTAATCTCTTCGTTGTGTGTGAAGAGCCTCATTTATAAGCACTATTGAATTACACTGATTTCAAAAGTCACTTCAGCTCTTGTAGCTGTCAGTGGTGAAGGCAGCCTGCTTGCTGGACAGTCGGCGGGTCCCGCGTAGCTGGAGTCGACTGCAAGCTTTAAGGCCCTGTGGGTTCCACCATCCCGGTGTATAGGCTGGCTCTGGAACCGTGTGGGGACTGAAGTAACCACTGAAGTGTTTGTCCAGAGCAGTAATCCGCTATTTTTGGGTCCGCTGCTGATCTGCCAGCAGTAATTTGAGAGAAGTCTGTTGAAGCTAAAATCACATAAATTATACTTGGTCATGAGCAGTTTATGTAAATCTACACGAGGCTTCTCACGTAGATGTTTACTGAAGGAGTGGGATACTCGTTTGTAAAAAAACGTGCTGTATGTTTGGAAGGAAATCTTAATGATGTTTGGAGAGAGAGAGAGAAGCCTGGTTCTCTCCGTGCGTCTTGCACGTGGTTCCTTCCCTCCCTTCCATGCCACTGCAGGCGGAGGGTGGGCTATCCAAGGGCCCCCGCCGCGTATGCGTGGGCTTACGGTAGCTTCTCACAACGTGATCCACGGATGAGACAGTGCCCGTAACTGCCCCTCGATTAAGCGATGGGGCTAGAGGAGACGACCCTACAAGTTGTAACAGCAAATTCAAAAGATGCAAGCTCAGGACATCCATTAGTCTTTTATTGACTTTTATTAGGCCTCTAACATTTCATGGCATCCTTCTTCAAAATGAAAACTTAGTATTAGCACTTCAAATGAAAACTTCAGGAACCCAAAAATCTGCAAGAACTGTTCAAGTTCCAGGAACACTTTTGCTTTCAGTCTTTTGTAAATTCTAATGCAAATCCTGCACAGATCTGCTTTTAGATAATGCAATATTCTTTTCCAGACAGACAAGCAATTTTGGTGGTATGGCTGTCATTTTCTAAGGAACTTTTTTTTTTCTTTTTCCATCTATAACCATAAAAATGTCACAAGCAGGTTACAGCAGTAGTTGTTGCTTCTCTAACATGCAGCCAAAGCACCTGTTGTGAAAAATGAAACAAAAATTGATAAAGTTTTTCTTGCAAATTAGGAAGGTGTCAGATCAGATATAAATTATCAGCAAGCTCAGAAAGGGAAAACCTGTTTTTATAGATATTTTCATTACAAGGCACACAAATTCTTAAGAGGCTTGCTGGCTCCTAAATCTAGGATAACGTTTCTGTGCTCAAACTGTGACCTCAACATTAAAAGAGTTCATTTCCAAATGTGAAAATAAAAGTTATTTGTCAGAAGAAAAGTTCACAGTCCAGTAAAAACCTTTCAGAATTTATTTCAATAGTAAAGTTTTAAAGGGGATTGTAAATTAGAGATGGGCCCAGGCCTTTAAGTGCAAGTTAAGGAGCAAGTACCTGCAAACTTGAAGAGTAAAACAAGGTCAATGGGCCCCATGTTTATTATACCAGTCATTAACAGTAAAGCTTGAAGCTAGATACAGACTTCTCTAAAGACTGAGATTTCTGGCTGAGATTTAGCGTGACCAAAATATTTGAGAGACAGCTGGGATTCCAGCAGAAGAAATCTGCATCTGGAAACATCAGCAAAGGGAGAATTTCCTTCATTATTTGCAGCGGTAGCTGTTCGTAGGCAGTTACCTACATCTTGTGTTCTTCACAAGCACGCAAAAAGAAGTTCTTGAACCTGTATGAAACATATCCTACTAAATACTGCAAGTGGTAGAATTTTCGCATGGTGTCTGGGACGAGGGAGGGCGTTAATGCGATTTTGAAAAGGAGGATACACAGTCGGTATCTCTAAGGCTGTTATCGGTGAGATTCATCTTTCTGCAAACTGTGATGAGACTGGCTTCCGACGTTCCCATCTGCTAGCTCGTACTCTGCCTGTGCTCTTGTTCAGAAGTGTCCAGAAAATAAATTGTATGTAGAATGAATAAATGAACGAACAAATGAATGAATGAATGAATGAACGAATGAATGAACAAACTCCCGCTTTCCCCCGGTGCGACTCATGAACATTCAG